CCCCAAAACCCCAAAACCCCAAAACCCCAAAACCCCAAAACCCCAAAAATAAAATTATAAATTGAAAATGAGTGGAAACCAACAAATATGGTATTTGAATTAAGACAACATTTAGGCGAGATATCAATACAGATAAAACCTACCTTATTGATAGCAATAATGGAGCCCAGAAAAAGGTCCAGAGTAATGGACAGAATCTCAAATAAGTATAAGCCAGGTATAACTGGCTTTGTAAATGCTCATACGAGGAAAAGGATCGTTGGCAAGGAAAAAGAAGGCCTACATAGCCTTGGCATCACTCTGAATCACTATGTACCCCAGCCTAATAAATTTGAAGGCTATTCTAGCTTCCCAAGACCTGTCAGTCGGCCTTATGTTAATAAAGCTGAATTCTTTAAAATGAATGTGCTCAAGAAGCCCAAAGGACTTAAGCAAGATAAGTTTTTGAGCATTAAAAATAAGAGTATGAATAGAAAGGATGAGAATTATAAAAGTAATAATGTCGGAACGACCTTCTTGACTGCCAAAAGAGCCCAAAGTCAAAATAATAAGACTCAGGTTATCAAGGATTTTGAAAGCAGCAAACTCGTAAAATCTGCGATTGCTGATGAAGATCCTTCCTTCTCTAAAGGTAAAAAGATGATTATTAACAAAATGATCACTCTGCGAAAAGCCATCTCCAAAAATTCAGAAAGAGAGATCCATGGACGTACACTAAAACAACCTCTAAATCAAACAATCACCAACTTAGACTTGTCCAAAACTCACACATCCTTCTCCAGAGCCGGTTCTCTCCAAAGAAGAGATAAGATGTCTATCACTACCTATGGCAGCAACTTCGGAAACCCTCCTAAATCAACAACCTCTCAGAACATGTATACTTCTCAGAGAATTCCTAAATTCACTCAGCTCCGCTTAAGGACTGCAGATCCTACCAAAACTGCTTATACCTCAATCCAGGGTAAAAGAACAGGAATAATGAGCACAAAGTTTTCCCCGAAGAAGCTGAAGCCTTTCTTGGAATACTCTCTTCATGGGTTGAGAGGATCTCCCTCGAACATTCTCCAGAAGATGAAGGATCCCTCTGGTGGCCTTCCCAAGACTGGGAAAGATCCGAAAGGAGCCAAGGTTGAAGAGACAATTAAGAAACCGGATGAAGGCTCACTGCTTCTTGAGAATTTATCCGAATCTAGCGAAGGAGATACCCAATTCAGGGTTAATAACATTGCTCAAGAAGAAATTGAAGCTAATATGTGAGTCTGATAGGAAAAATGGATTGATTAGGATTTGAGAATGTAGAGAGATTAATGCTTTAACTGTTTTCTATAGGTTCACGAATCCTCCTCCTGTGAGACAGAAGAACTCAGTAAAACCCAGAATGGTGTTTACAAATGCAATTATTAATACAATGCCCGGGCAATTTAAAATCGATAGAATTTGGAAAGTTAAATCAAATCCAATGTTCCAGCAGCAAGAAAGTGAGTATATCCTAAAGGATAAAAAGATGCTTGAAAAGCGTCGTTATGGTAAAGTGCTAAAAAATATGGCTCTTCAAAGAGAGCTTGAAATTACAAGCAAGAAGATAGAAAAGGAATATAAAAAAAGAATGTACTAAATTATTCTAGAAAGAGCTTATAGACTACCATGAGCCATCTAAAAATGATTTAAAACTTAAATCCAACTCGGTGCCACCAAATGGGGTTTTGGGGTTTTGGGGTTTTGGGG